AGACTGAGTATATTCGTGAAATACTGTCCTTACGGAAGCTTAGCTATATCAATTATTGCTAACAGATTGAATGTTTGAAATTACTCGAAAACTAATTCCTCAAGACATATGCGTATTTAAAGTAATAATAAACCTGTTGATAAAGCCAACTCTCCAAGTCGTCCTTACGAGACTGTTCGCGAGCAACGTGACAACTCAGTGGTGCATACCTATAAGCAACTTATTGTTATATTTGTTTCCAAAACTCAGTTCAAGAACTACAATTTATGCCACAAGAACCACACAACTACAATATCGTATTTCAGCTCTCTTTGATTCATGATCACATTATGCGTGAGCGTGAATCAACGAGAGTAATAATATGAAGTTGTGTTTCAGATGAGAATTGATCACTTGAATACCTGACTGTGCCACGGAATCCAGCGAATGAACGTGGATTTCGAATGTTGGATGCGTTATCCTTGTATTTTCGACACATCCCAAAATCAAGTAAATAAATATTGCGAACTTCAGCACGTCCAATCGCATAATTTCCAGGCTTGATATCTCGATGAAGATAACTTGAACGGTAGCACTATTTCAATTACATATTCTGTTGGAATTCAATAACCGTTTTGTTACCACTCCTTCCAAGAACGTTTTAAATATGAATACTATTGTGATTTAAGTGGCTTATGAAAACTTTAATAAATGTCGTGAAATGTTGATAGATCATTCGTCGACTTGCGCGCGTTGTCTCTTTTTACGGAAGGAGAGCACTTTCGAAGAAAAGTTGTTAGAAGAAGTGCATTAATGCGTGTTTATTGAACGTTAAGGCAGGGAACTTGTAAAGTGCTGCTGGCGTTTTTCCTCACGGTAATCGAGCATCACACATCTTTCTCGTTTTTGATCAGGGCTAACTCAATATATCTGCCTTTGTTTTTACAAAATATCGTTAACGGAAGGTGGTCACTACCAAAAGATCTGAGCAGTAACGATGCGTTCCAGACTATTGCTTCATCATATTTTCTTCTATTCATCAGCAAATTTTACAAAATATTTTGCTCTCATGCATACCCGACACTGTGTATCTCTTTGATTGCTTCCAAACATTTGATTCCCACTGAAAGTGCACATCCCAACGAGAATTTATGTACCTTTGCGGTTGGATCAAATTTTCGAAGTTCCTGTTCAATAGATTCAATGGTTTCGCAGAACATTTAGAAATCATCAACATACAAAAATCGCTCGTTTTAATTCAGCCCGTTTTCTTGATAGCATCTTTATAGCAACATGACATCCAAAAAATTCATCATAATTTTGAAATGGTTTTCAGTAAGGAAATATTCGATATTGTAAACCATTGATTAGATCGAACAGATGACAGCAACAATAGGTTGTTGTTTTCACTGTTGAAGCACTGAGAAATGGAAAGAGTTGAACACTGTCATCATTCGTCGTTGAATTAGCAGTTTGAAAGCGAACTCGCAAAATACCGTTAGAGTTGCTCCAACGAGAGTCATAACAACGTATTTGATTTCTCCAATGCGTCCACTATCGATTATCGTGCAAAAATGTTGAGCTTTAATCCGTTTCAACTCATTCAAAACATAATATTCTGCTTTAAGAACCTACAAACTCTTTTCTTTAAAGCACTTCTTCTTCTCAACTTCACAATATCACGATAAAATCTCTAATCACGCTCTTACTCATCATCGATTGAATGTAATTCGCTTGTTTTGAATGAATAAACAAAAAGGCGATAATATTTTCGCCATACCTTATTACATGATTTAACACTTTCGGTTTTCATTGCATATAATTCACCTTTCTTATTCATCACCTGAATGGTTTCTTCAATTCAGTAGATTTTACGAATGTGCGGTCATTTAAATCTGATTGATGATTTCTTCATTTAAATCTGTTTTTTGATCAATAAAATATCTCACAAAAATTTCTCATTATTGCAGAGTAAAATCCCTTTGAAAACCCATGACTTGATTATGTGAAAGGTACTGCAAAACAAGTGTTTCTTGAGCGAGTGCAACAAGATTTAAAAATAGTAAATCACAATTTTTCTGAATGCTTTCGTCAGATTGATATTGCAAGCTATCCATTCCAGGTATTAATTGAACGAGTTCAAATCAAATTTGTATGAACTTATATTTTCATAAGACTGGGTCAATTTGCATCAGCACATCTTGAATATTTATATGAATGATATATTGATGCAAATATGAGGAAAGGCAAATAATATGTTTTCCAGCAGCATTTCAAAAATGAAGACAATGAAATGCATTTTGACGACAGTACAGCTGCAGAGATCAACCGGATGCAATTTAGCCTCAATTTAGCTGCTGCAACGTTTAAAGTGGTAAATTGCATTCTGAAAATTTTTGCTGGTTGGTTATAGGAATTGCTTGCGTTGATTTGGAAAGGCTTAATCATTA